TTTTCCACATCTGCTACAAATATATCTTTATCATTTTTACTTTGAAAGTATAGGTTGTGTGGTATAATCTGAGTAAAATTTTGTACAAGATTTTTAATACCATTGGAGTTATATTTCGAAGCCCATTTTATACCTTCTTTGTCATTGTATCCAATGATTACTGTAATACCAGAATTCAAGTTGGAAGAATTTAATAAATCTCTGGGTGGAGCAGTAATAATAGCATCTGCAGTAGGTTCTTCAAGGCAGGGTCTAAACACGTACGGGGCGAAGGCATTATTAGTTTGATCTCTATATGTTTCAATGGTAACATCTTCCTCGGATACTTGATTAAAGATGTTTAGAAGTTCATCTGGATCAGAAGAATTATATCCTAAGCGAGTAGCAACTAAGGACGCGCTTCCTATAGGGTCTTCGTCAAAAGCTTGCGGCATTAGCACTGACCCACTTTGTAATATAACTCTATGGAATAAACCTTCGGTTAATGGAGAAACCAACAAGTAGTTAACAGAAGCAGCTCCAACGCTTTCACCAAAAAGAGTTACTGAATTGGGATCACCTCCAAAATATTCTATATTTTTGCTTATCCATTTCAAAGCTGCTACTTGGTCCTTCAACCCCGCGTTTCCTGGTGCACCTTTGTTCCGTAAACAAAGAAATCCGAATGCTCCAAGGCGATAGTTAACTGTTACGACAATGACTTGTTTTTTCAGTAAGTGTTTGGGATTATAAAGGAGGTGTGTGTTGCTGCCCCAGTAGAAACCTCCGCCGTGTATGAATACCATTACAGGGAGTGGAGTCTTTAGTGCAACTGTGGGGGTGTAGACGTTAAGTACCAGGCAATCTTTGAAGCCTATGGGTGTTCTAGTGCGACTGAAGTATTGTTTGCATCTACTGGAACCGCGTGCTACATTTAGTGTGCCTTTCCATGAGGGTGGGTCTCCAGGTGCCTGGATCAAAAACGTTACATGGTATAAAAACAAAAGTGCTTCATAGGCCTACATTAGGTCCTAAAAAAGCTCATGCATTTTATGTTACGTGGCTTGTAAAAGATAAGGTAGCGAACACTTACTTGGAATTTTCCTGTCACTGAAGCGTAGGGCACTTTCAGAAATCTTCTGTAGGCTCCAGAAAAACTTATGGAACCTTTTAAGTTTCCTTGAGGAATCGTTACCTCTGACGACATTAAATTATAACTATTTAGGCCACTAATATAAAAATAAATAAGAGTTATTAGTAAGAGCATGATTTTAATCTGATTTGTCACACGCACCTTTACACACTAAAATAATGTTTGTTCCATTATGGTTTGAACTTGATACTCGGAGCATTCTAGCAAATCGACGAATGGTTTATTTTAGGAAATATAATATAAGTTAATAGGCTAATTTAAATAATAAAACCGGTGTTTAGCACGTGTCTAGCTGTGAAGATTACTGTTAGTGATGTATTATGATTTTGGGAGAATATTAATGTTTGTAAATAACTACTGGGTGCGCTTACGCATGATTTTGATTATGTCATTGATTTACGAAAGGATAATTCGAATGAAACTGTAATTTATAATGTAATGTACCTAATTCTACTGAGTTCTTGTTGGTGATAGGAACCTAGATAAAAAATAGGTAGGTAGACTTTTTATTGCAAAAAAGCTACTAACACCAAAACTGATATTAAATAAGTACTTACCTACCTACAGCAAACAAAAAACTGAAAGCCTGAACCATATTAAAAACTATGAGCAAAAATACTTTTAGATAACATTTACCTATTGTTTGACGGTGATGAGTGATATCTTTTGATGAGTTCATAATTTTCTATTGTTTACTTGCCTATTAATTACGTTTTCGATAATCTATAGAAATCGTTCCAAATAAAAGCACGGTTCAATAAATATCACACGCTAGTAATCTATCTAATCCACAGGAAACAAGTATATTTTAGTTAAAATTCAATTTAAGTGAAGTTATCAATTCAAAATGTTTACGTAAGTATCTTGGTATCATATGACATTTTAATAGATCACTGTTTCATTTCGATGTAGGATGAACTCGGAAAGAAGTTTAAGCGATATACAATTAGCTAATGTAGAGCAGCTTATTTACACAATATTTTATAAAATATAAGCAATAAAGCCACCTCACACTATTACGTTCTGCATTAGTGCCGTGGCCAGTAAAAGCGAGGAAAAAGAAGAATTTTCAGGACTTGATTCACTTGGAAAAGTGAAGCAACATAACGTATAGGTTCAAAAATACTGAATTTCTCCAACGCTTAATCTTATCGATGCTTTTAGCAACAAAGGTATGGGCTTATCGCGAAAAACGGGGTGTTTATAGCTTATCGCGGAACGCATCCCAGGCCTATAGGACTATTATTTGGTTGTTTTAGTTTATTCTCCAGCACCCTTGGCGCCCTCTGGACGATGTACGTGTGGGCGTCGGCCTGGCATAAGATCGTGGACCTCATTCCCTACGACCCGCCCATGCCGACCCCGCTGGACCCTTTCAACGACTGAAACTACGAGGGATGCTGCTGATCCGATGGATAAATTGATATGCTCAAATGTCTTAGCTGATAAGTGTACCATATCTTACTTTAGAATTTGTAAATGTACCCATTAGTTGGGGTAGTCAGATAAGTAGACTACCTACTCCATTTCTTTGTTAATATGTTAAGGGCCAGTTTACTTGCTACCTCTCCTAGCCTAGCCGGTTGGAGACCAAGAGTTAAGCAGCAGCTAAAGTAACTTAGCTTAGCTCTTGGTCTGCAACCGGCTTTATAACTTGCTGTAGCCTATAGGAACTTCTTTTTTGAAAAAACAAAACTTTTTGGTATCACAGATCTGTCTAGGCGCAGACCACCGACATATATTAGTCCAGTCAAATTAGACATGAACCCTGCATTAATTCGCATACAGCTGAAAATTGGTACGCATGTTCGGAGCACCATTATGAATTAACTGTGAAAAGTCCCCATCGATCGGAAATGTGCTAAAAAAAAATTCAATGTCAAACTTAAAAAATACGGGTTTTTGAGATTTTCAGCTAAACGGTAAGTTTTATCACAAAAACATGTATGACAAGGTTTAAGATCATACTATTATCTATCAAAATTGTCTATACACTTTCTCCTAAGAGTCAGCGTTTCTGAGATTTGATGATCAGAAGAGTCAAAAAAGTGTTTTCTTCATAACGGTCTTGCACATAAATCCAATGTGATATCGCCTCGTGCCTCGACTCAGCATTGTATCATGATGTGTTGTCGACGTCGAATATAAAATAATCAACCTTAATGTCGTCTGTCATCTTTAATTATCGAAAAATGGTTGCAACTTTGACGAAGGATTGCACCGTGAGTTTCTAAGATACGAAGTTTTCGTGTTTATTATGTTTAAGAGCTCTTATATGCACACGTCACTACTCTACTTCTAACTCTATGGTCACTCTTTTAGCCCGACCAAGTTAGACAGTCCAGGTTATAATAATTCGCATAGAGCTGAAAATTTGTGTGAATGTTGAGAACACCATCCTAAATGAAATGTCAAAAGACCCCGACGATCCGTCATTTAAAAAAAAAGTTTTCGAAGTCCCAAGTTTTTTGCATTTTTTGGCCAAGTAGTAAACTAATCATAAAAATAGATAAAAAATTATAGTAGATCATAAAATTATCTATCAAAATTATCTTTGCCCCTTTTTCCTAAGAGTCACCGATTATGAGGTAGAACGAATCAAAAAGTTAGTTAAGATGTTCTCGTTATATGCACATGTTTCCACAACACCTATGATGGTTATTTGGCGCATTTTTTTACCAGGTTTCCTCAGTAGGCCTTTTTTAAGATGTATTTGTTATCCTGTTCAATTCAAAACTATTTTAATAGAGTTGAAGTTGTGGACTCGTGGAGTAGTTAACAGAATGCGAATTCTTCAACATTTTGCATCGTTACCACATAAACGGTGACTCTTAGGAAAAAGGGGCAAAGACACTTTTAATAGATAATTTTATGATCTACTACTATTTCTTATCATTTCTTATGATAAGTTTACTGTTTGGCGGAAAAATGCAAAAAACTTGGACTTCGTAAATTTTTTTTTCAAATGACGGATCGTTGGGGACTTTTGACATTTCATTAAGGATGGTGTTCTCAACATTCACACAAATTTTCAGCTCTATGCGAATTATTATAACCTAGATTTTCTGACTTGACCGGGCTAAAAGAGTGACCATAGAATTACAAGTAGAGTAGTGACGTGTGCATATAAGAGCTCTTAAACATAATAGACACGAAAACTTCGTATCTTAGAAACTCACGGTGCAGTCCTTCGTCAAAGTTGCACCCATTTTTCGATAATTAAAGATGACAGACGACATTGAGGTTGATCATTTTATATTCGACGTCGACAACACATCATGATACAATGCTCAGTCGAGGCACGAGGCGATATCACATTGAATTTATGTGTAAGACCGTTATGAAGAAAACACTTTTTTGACTCTTCGGATCATCAAATCTCAGAAACGCTGACTATTAGGAGAAAGTGTATAGACAATTTTGATAGATAATTGTATGGTCTTAAACCTTGTCATACATATTTTTGTGATAAAACTTACCGTTTAGCTGAAAATCTCAAAAACCCGTATTTTTTAACTTTGACATAGAATTTTTTTTTTAGCACATGTCGGATCGATGGGGACTTTTCACAGTTAATTCATAATGGTGCTCCGAACATTCGTACCAATTTTCAGCTGTATGCGAATTATTGCAGGGTTCATGTCTATTTTGACTGGACTATATGTAGTTGAGCCCGATTCTAGTTTGTATGAAGAATCGGCCGATACAATATCGGCGTAATGTGCGCACGTTCATACATCTCCATACTGATTAACAGCCCGACCCAACTATAGGTAAGTCTGCAGTCTGCGCCTAGACTTAGTTTTCTGGCAGATACATTTTGACCGTTTCGATAAATAAAATTTAAAAACCGTATCTCAGTGTTTACTTTATTGGTACTTGTTTCGTACAATTTAAATGATCAAAACTTAAGGTACTCGCACATGTTGCAGCGACACTCTCGGAGCGCTCGCCCGAGTCGGTGGCACAGCGACTGCTGCGACTCGGCGCTCGTCTCCACTCGGTCTTCGTTGAACATGAAGCCGCACTGGATGGGAAAGGGATTCTTATTACAAAGACATAGCAAAGGCAGTAGCACCCATGCAATGTTCAAAAATTCACTTCAGATAAGACTTCACTTCAGAGAAGACTTCACCTCAGAGTTCAGAGCCTGAACAGCGCATGCGGCTGTGCAGGTTTTATCAAACTTCTATTAAGTACAGTCAGCGTCAAATAGTTCGTGACACCCAAAGAGGCAAGAAGTTTACAACACAATACAGTCCTATCAACTTAAGCTGAGAATTGCATTTGTGTGAGTGATCGCCAAAAGTACCGTTAGTAAAAAACATACAAATAAAATTAATGTTTTATTAAAAGGAAGTCTATAAAACACTTGCTACCAATTGGACCGATGTAACGATACTTGACACATCCTTTTAAATAAATAAATAAATAAAAACAGGTCCTCGCTCAGCATACGCCAAGGCACGAAGTACCTCGCCAGGCCGTTCTGCGAGCACCGTTTATAGAGAGGGCGTCCAGCCAGCCTTACAAAATACAACAAAAAGACAAACTTTATATAATTACAAAATAAAAACAGACTAAAAACTTTTCGTTCACACCTTTAAAATACGTATTCAATTTGCATAAAATTTCTTTCACTTGGCTGCTTAATGGATTTCGTACAGGAAATTCACTAATATTTGGAACACAATTACATAAAATTACACATATCTGCTACCAGTACCGGGGGTGAAATGAAGTATGTGAGCGGCAAGGAAGCGGTGCGTGGCGGACGCGCCGCGCTTCAGGCCGCTTGCTATAAATAAACCGGTTTAAACCATGCGCGGGACGCGCCGCGCTTCACGCCGATTGCCACTCTACACTATCGGTGTGCACTCACACAAATGCAATTCTCAGCTTAAGTTGAGAGGACTGTAACCTTGTTCCAAAATCCAAATATAATAAAAAAGTGTTGCAAACTTTTTGGCTACTTTGGGTGGTGGATGTACGATGTTGTCATAAGATTGAGATTTCTAAAATTTAAGTAACTGACCGTCTCAGCCATGTTCCTGCAGTGCAGCCGGCGCGCGCTCGGCACGACTAGTCTGGACAGGAGAGCCCAGGCGCGACCAGCCTGCCTGTCGCACTTCAGGGCCTGAACAGCACATGCGGCTGCGCAGGTCTTCGCGGCGGTCTGCTCATCTGTCACGTCCGCGTCACCTGCTTCGCCTACCGCCGCTCGCTAAACGTATATTTTTTATTAATCATTACATTAGGCACTGGGGTTGCACAATGCACATATTGCCGAGTATAACTAAAAAGGGTGGCTGGCATGTGCTTCAATTAAATCACCAGAAAATGCTGATATGGGCTTATGGTGGCGATTGACTGATGATTAATTCTTGATTCATGTTGAATGCAATCTTATTATTAAAATACCTGTAACCAGTCCTCAGCCAATTCGACCCAGGCGTAAGCGCTGGGTTGACGACGGATCAGGTCTAGAAGGAGAGACCGCCCTCGCTGCGTTTCCCAGCACGGCATGGATAGTAAGATACTGAAATTGCAGTATTTTTTTACTAATAAATTAAGTAGGTCTCGATCCCTTTGGCTTAATTTTAGAAATGTATTTCAAATATCGACTTTACCTATAACCACTTAAGCAGTTGCCAGCTTTTTCAAAAGACGCCATTGCGGCCGTTATATTCTTATTCTTGTGTAGACACTCTGCTTGCAGGCCACGTAAGTAGCTTATCTATAAAATAACCATATTAGGTACTGCATTATTCCATTTGCATGTTAGCCGTACCTATGGTTCTGGAAGAGTAATATTAGGACTAACTCCACTTTACACGTGGACATAAGTGAGTGTCATAAGAGGCGAGTAGGAGAGAAAAATTCTTTTTAACTAGTCTGGTCAGTGTAGGAAGTGTAAGCAAAGTCCTATAATTGCCTCTGGTTTTGAGAGGGTCGTCGTCCTATAGTAGAGGTATGACTTGCTGTTGTAAGAATAAACTTTTTATTTTGCGCAAATTAAAACAAGATGGCACCTACATCACCAAACTTCTCGATGGCCAGTTGCAAGTGGCAGAGCGCGTCGTCGGTGCTCCCGCGCAGCCGGCAGCTCAGCGCAACCATGTGGAGAGACGCCGCAGACTCGCCGGCCTCCGCGATAGCTCGGGATAGGCAGACTTCTGCTAGCTGAATTTTAATTTAAAAAAAGTTAGACAAACGATACTAGAAAATCGAACGCACAGCGTTGAATAGAGCTCTGTGATTGGTTCGTGTATCACCATTTGCGTCCACGCGCACCGTGAGACCTCATAGTAATGTTTGTGAATAGGAAACGTTGTCTATATTTTCAGTTTTATCTTGTTTCATACTATCAGTGTACCAGTTAATGAATGGTAGGTATTTAAATTGTTAACATTACTATATCAACGAGCCAACGAGTTCATTTTAATTCTGGACTTACAGCAGTTAATTTAACCTCTACTTATAACAGCTTTTTCGAACCCCATTAATAGATCCCATAATAAAATTGTGCTTTGACCTGTGCCACCCCAATCTGATGACCGTGAGCTAATTTACACGGTCAAATAAATACGTCTGCTATGGGGATAAGCTTAATTTGAACTAATGGCGAAGCTTTTCCAAGTTAGAAGTGTTTTTCCTTACTGATTTTTCATTCAAACATTATACAGGGTGTTACTTTGCATTCTTGCCATATTTACAGAGGTGACTATATTACTGATACTGATCACAAATCCGTTAAAAAATAATGCCCGAAAAAATTTTTTTTTAATCTTGAGTATTTTATTTTATCGACAATCTGTTAAACACATCACTAATTATCGTAACGCATGCACATCACTTGTTGGCGATGGCGATGAAGACTTTTTTACTTTTTATTGTATTTTTAAATATCTATTGCAATCTATTGTCTTTAAAATGTCTTTTTGACACTTGTAAAAAACTGAGAAATCCATCAATCACAAATCACGTTATAAATTATACAAAAATGTCTGAAGTGTATTCAAACAACGAATAATTTAATCAAAATGGTGCCTGGAGTGTCTGCAAGACGTCTTAGACGAAATGCTTGATGACGTACACGTTACACCAAATGCTCTACTAGCAGCAGGATGGTGCTCCCCCACAATAAGGACGTCAAGTGCGCGAATAATACGTTTGGTGAACAGTGGATTGGACGAGTGGTCCAGTAGCTTGACCACCACGATCCTCGGACCTGACACCAATGGATTTTTGGCGCCACCACGATCCTCGGACCTGACACCAATGGATTTTTGGCGACTTGAAACGACTATGCGCAGAAGAGATAAACATGAAAGGATTGTTTTAGTGAAACTGTGAGACAAAACGTTTATGTGTTGCGAAAACTAAAGCGGAAAACCTACGCTTCGCCGTGCTTGACTGTGCCTTCATCAGAACGGAGGACACTTTGAACACTTGCTTCGCAGTACGTAAACTTTGTAAGTAGGAACTTATAAATAAATAATTAATTGTGAATAAGGTGATTTCATTTCATACTTAATTTATTAATTTGTAAAAATAGGGTACAATGTTAAAATTAATTAAAACCCTAATAATTATTACGTATTTTTGACGGTCCTAAGCCCGTAAAGTAGAAACTGAGAGTAGAAAGGAAAATCTGAAATCAACTGAAGAATATTTTAAAATAATTATTATGACTGGATAAAAAGGCTGGTACCCAGAGCCATAAAACAACAGATTATTAAGAACTAGGCCACGCCCACTAGGTTTATTCCACTTGCACCTGTAGAACGTGCGAGACAAAATTGGTTTATTCCGATTTGTACTGAAAAACCAAATTTACTAAAATCTTAGTGTACTTTCTTTATGGGAGTCTCTTGTTTATCTTAAATAATAGGTATTGTTCCCTACTTTTATCTCTGTGAATATGGCAAGAATGCAAAGTAACACGGTGTATAGTTTTACGCAGTACTGCGAGAAATTACATGATGAGGTCTACTTAGTTACTTGTCGATGAGAGGGTACATAGTATCAATAGCTAGCTATGGAGATAAGATTCGATCATGTCAACTAACGCCGAAGCTTTATGGGACCTAAATAAATTTCTGCTCTGCAAATAATTAATAGATTCTACTTGTGGTCTTCTCGTTTGTCGTTACCTAGCAATGAGAGTGGGTATGAATATCTATTATAGAGTTAGGCTTCATCCATGTCAAGTGTCAACTAACTCCAAAGGCTCTCAACCGCAATAGAAGGTCAGCAGCTTCGAAATAAGGGTTGGTGCCGGGTAGTAATGGAGTATTGTCCCACCAGTCGCCCAGCTCGTACTCCCATGCTCTGGGGATCCCGATGTCCTCTACTAAACCTTCTGCATGAGACCTGGTGCATGAACAAGAAGATGAGATGCATTACTTTACATGACTCTTGAATAAGCTTTTAGGTACAGCGTGAATTTACATACGTTAGGTAAGGTAAGTTACATACTACTAATCCTTAACTTAAGAAAGAAAAGTGTGAAGTGAATCCTAGGTCCCAGAATTCTTCTGCCTTCTACCGAACTAATAGCAAATTGAAAGCAAAAATTTTTGTGACAAACATTCCATTTCCTAGCTAAAACTAAAAAATAGACCATTTACTTTCGTTTATACTCCATAACTTGATCAGCCATGTGAAAGAGTTCCCGCTTCAGGTAGTAGGCATTGACAATGACCCAGCCGGTCAGCCAGAACGGGTACAGAGCCAACAGAGCCACGAAGAATGGCTCTGCTGCTTCAGGGTCATCTTCGAATAGAATGCTGCCCTTTGACACAAGACTGTGGAAATAATAAAAACTGTTGAACTTGTTGCTCTTGTTCAAAACACAAAACAAAATATTTAGTCATAAATGTAAATAAGTAGACATAATTTATGATAATCGCGCGGTGATTCGCCACAATGGGATATGTGAAGGACATTAACTGAGAAAAATTTACATATCCAAGACGTAGTCACATACGTAAGTGGGTGTCGAGGGTCCAAAACTATTGACTTGTTGATGCAAACATTGGCCCAATCGCTATCCACGTCTCGTAAGCAAGTTGACAGCTCCCGCCAACTGTTTGGACTACGGGGCTTCTGCACAACTAACTGAAATGTTAAGGAACGCAAGCATGCCCAGAAAGAATTTTTAGAAATTAAAAGGCCTAAGGGCATAAAACGGAGGGCCAAAGCTTAATGCGTGTTAAGCTGCGAGTAAAAGCAATTAGTAACATATTGTATGTGAAATATTATTATTACAACAGACTAGACCTGTAAATACAATTCCAAGGCGTGTGACGTGTCTTGCATTTGCCGGGCATGTCGAGCTGCTTTCAGCGTGGGGTCTATGTCCTGTCGATGGATGTTCCCCACCAGAGTGCTGCAAGCGATACGTGTCAGGCACGCGTGGGACATCATTAGCATTTCCTGAAAAGGAAAGCATTACACTACGACCAATAGAAGCAGAGCATCAATGAAATATGTTGCAAAAACGGGAAAACGTTGCCTACGAAAACGCGATCATAGCTAGTTATAAAATAAAATTGGTTACAAACTTCAAAGGTATCATCCGAACGTAGGAACTCTTGCACAACGAAGTTGTTGTTGACGTAGATGGCGGCGTCGAGGCAGCATGACGTCATCAACTCCACGCGCGTGCGTGTCTCGCTCAGCTGCCGGTTGAATGCGCAAAATTCCGTCATTCCTGAAGATTATTAAGCTACTTTTAAATCAAATATGGGCCCTCCAAGCTTTTGCATTCATTTTTTAATTTGTCTCGAGCAGCCAGTGTTATGGACTTTTTGCATTACCGTAATGTGGGACTTTCCGAAGAGAACTTTCTGCCGCACGAACTGTAGACTGCCATTCGCGGTCCAACTGCCCTCGGCCTGTGTTCTCTCTCTTTACGGGGCCTAGCTCCATTTCTTGCAGCATATCGTTTATCTCTGCACTGCAAGAATCCACAATAAGAAATCTTCTTTATAGTTACTAAACTGTACTCTTGATTTTCTAGTTAAATACCTTGTAATAGGAGTAGGTATAACAGCTTTTTTAAGTGGTCTTGCCAATTTAACTTCAACGACGATGAAGGCACAGTTTTCGTCGGCGCCAGTAGGTCGCAATGAAATGCCCATTTCAGTACTGGTACTGGTGGGAACCGAGTCACCAGGTAATCTGAAATGAGTTAGTGTTTCTTATCTTACCTATTGTTTAATAGCTCTAGCTAAGTTATTTTAAGTAAGGTTTTGGAAACTAAGATCTATGTTAATTGATTAAGAACTAAATTACTTGGCCTTGGGAGTGCTGCCCGTAGTGGAAGCCAAGTTATCGTTCGGGGTAAGGAGGAGCTCACAGCCACATTTTTCTAGCATCACCTGGGGATTTACCCAGTGCAGAGGCACTGCCATGCGGACGCAGTTTTCTAAAAAACAAAAGTTTTATTACCATAAGATAATAGCTTTTTAGAGAATTACGATCCTATGAGTTTCCAAAGAATGTCTGAAACCAGTGACTTGCCTCCAGGATACAGTAAGTGGAACAGGTTGAGGAACGCCATGAAGCTGAGGCCGTTCTGCTCGCCGTACACGTGCACCTCGAAGGGCCAGCAGTAGCGGCGCAGGTGCTCCCCGAGCCACGCGTCCGAGTGCTCCAGCATCAGGGTACGATGGAAAGAGCCCCACACGATCATGTCTTAATTAAAAGAAAAAATCTACTTTGTTAGACCAGTCGATTCTGTATATTACTATATTATATTCTCTATTATAACCAGAATCACGGTAAGCAAGATGGATGTATAGAGCCAAAGATAGGGAGTCACAAAATTCACAAAGGGAGTTCACTCGTGGTCGAACTTAATTTCTTTTATAGACGTCATTCGTAATAATAATTCTCATAAATGTTAGCTTTAATCAGTTTTTATTCAGCCAGCTAAAGGTGTATAAATATGTAAAGTTAAAAGGTTAAGCAACATTCTCAAATGTGGAATCACGAAAAAAAATAGGACCATAACTCACAATCTTTGAGTTTCTTAGACATGTAGTAATTTAAGTCTATGTTTTCAGTATTGTGCACAGTTTCCAGGTTGCAAACGAATTTCTCGTCTCCTCTCGTAAATATGTCGTCTCCTACCCTGAGGCTTTCCCATTTCGGATAGAAGCTCATAGGGTTGAATCTATTTGGAACTCTATATCCTTGGTTGAAAGTGACAAGTCCCGTGTTCTGTAAATATGAACCAAGATGCACGATTAAAGTAAAAATCATAAAGGTTGTAATGAAAATAAAAACTATGTTTCTACCGTTTCATTATGAAGTGGTGTTTTAGATGCTGCAGTGTAAATATACTCCTCGTCGAAGGGTATTTGGACATTGTATGCAGAAAGTAGAGTCACTTTAATATAATTTGCCTTCTTTAGCACTTTGTGATGGTGTTCGTTCAACTCGTTGCGGTCTACAGACAGTTCCAGGGTGAGGAGAGGCAAATTGTCCCAGCTTTTGGTTTGCAGTATTGGTGGTTTTATCATTGGTTCCATTCTTTTTTGCACGACCATTCTATCCTTATCTGAAAAACAGAGCGTAGATACTCAGTTGTTTACCTAATTAGCGTTTTCATTGTCTCCTATTATTATTTGGATGTCGTTTATATGGAGCAAATTGGAAATAAACTCTGTTTTTCTACCTAATTTTCAGACTAACACTCACTGTCACTGTAGCTGGTGGCATAATAAGTGTCTGTAATAGGTGTAAATTTTATTAAATAGGTAGGTACCTATAAATACTGGTAAAATGTCCACGTTGCAGCAACTTATATCGACTATTGGTTTCACTGTAGAGCTGGATCTGTTCGACTCAGTGCTGAGTCTAGGAGAGATTCCCTGGGTGCTCATGTTTGTCTCTATACTTTTTAATGGTTGAATATTTACTGAAAGAATACAAATAAGGAAACAAGCATACTGTTCAATCCAATAATGGAGTCATGTTCAGTATCGCACACTGATCTATTAACTACATAAAGGGACCATAGACAGAAAAGACTGGAAAATACTCCTGCTCTTTCTTATGTAGGTCTAAGGTCCTTACCAACCAAAGGGCAGTCGGCAAACAGGCACATTTTCTCGTAATCCGAAGGGTCATAGTTCATAGTTCCTTTGGCTAAGATCCGACGTCCAGCCTTGCTCTTCGCACTCACCGTCTTGACAATCCCAGTGAGGAGCAGCTGATCAAAGAAGGTCACTTTGATGGCGTAGTGTTTGGGGATGTCATCTGTCACTTGCAGACTCAGAACTTTGACTATGAACACGTCCATGGGTGGGACGTAGATTTCCTCCTTCATTTGCATGTCTGATCTTGTTGACAAAAGCGAGGCTTCCGATTTATTCTGTAACAGTCATCTTTTTACAGTTGTGTACATTTATATACCTACTTTTTTAAATCCTGGAGATCAGGGGATGTCTTTTCTAGTAGATGCCTAGTGGATAGGTACTGCGCACATATTATGTGCTAAGTTAATATTGTACTAACTGATTATAGTACATAACATATTTTACCCTCTTTTTCATGATTGCAGCTGTGATAGAATCTTGACGTTACTGACTTAAATTAAATTTATTAATATTAATTTATTAAAATAAACTAAACAACCTCCCTTGTAACATGTGCAATTTCAATAAACTTTGGTGACAGATGTCAATGCCAAACCCATGTCATTTTGATATTTCATAACAAGAAGTAGGTTGCATTTGGACGAGGTTGCATTTAAAAGCCACGTCTAAAACAAATGAAAATCATTTGTCTCATTTTAACCATCAGTTTGCAAAACTATTGTTTGTTATGTAACATTAATGAGGATTTTCGCGAATTCTACTTATTGCTACGTATTGCCATCTGACGGATTTTTCATTCGCGAAAACCCTCAATATCACAGTTACTGGCCTAATGTTGGCCCTGACCTGACCATATGATTGCTCTGATTACATGGTTTATTTTATTATTACCACTTAAAAGACCATGGTAAATGGCTTAACGAGCCCTCATAATCATGGAATCTATATTTTTATTAGAAATTGATACCCCTCCTCCTGTCCCACCTCTGAAACTCTTGCGCTGCCAGGATCTACAGCGTGGTCGCCGATAAACACCCAATCAGTGAAAATGTAGCGTTTTACAAAGACTGAAGTGTCATAAAAAGAGAGTAAGTACTTACTCAATAGATGAATGAACTCGGGGTATTTTGGATATTTGTCCTAAATAGGCCAAAAAATTATTAGTATTCTATCTAATGTTAGAGTAATTTGGTATACATTACCTACTTTATAACATTATAAAATCTATTGTTAAAATTTTTGGCAATCAAATAGTCATTTGGTCTGACAAAGTATTTTATCAAATTGATCATTTGCTATTCCAGTCCTTGCTTAAATGTATCCGAGTTTATGCAAAAATGATAAATTATTATATTTTTATACTGATCCCTGTTTTCACATCTAGCGGGGCCCAGCTTATCAAAATTGATGACAATAATAATATAACTGCGTATGTAAGTATAACACTTTTAGAAAAGGTTATTCTTGATCAATTCCTTCTGCTTTCATTATTTTAGAAGTGGTTCCGATTCATATATTTTTTGTATTAGAATACAAATTATCGGAATAGTAAAAAAATTATGCATTTAGGTACTCGAACATTTTCCTGGGTTCAATTTTTACACAGGCTGAACAGGCACTCAGGCTAACGAGATTTATCCTGCTCTATACCTTTCCACCACTGCAACTCCTGTATAGCCAGGGTCTACCTACAGCTTGTTCAATCAAGGCTCTTAGTCGGAGCTCGTAGGGGCGATCGCAATACTACCTACTCCTCATCGCCGCCGCTCAGCCGCCGCGTCGCCTCACCATCGCTCGGCCGACGCCTTGAGGAGGCGTGACGCTAGACCGTTGAAGTGTGGGCTAAAATGCCGCCTCCCGTCAAGCGTGAGGCCCAGATATTTCATCTGGCCTTTGACGTCAATCCTAACATCCTTAACCACAATGTGGGCGTCGGGAGGGGTGCGCTGGCGAGGCCCCGGTAAGAAGATGGCCTCAGTCTTCTCCAGCGCGACTTTCAGGCAGAGGCATCGTATTCTGCGACCGACTAATGTGCCGCCCGCCGACGCCAGCCGCGCCGCGGTCCCAAATGTCTTCTCCCGGGCAGTGACCAGAGTGTCATCCGCATAGCATATGACACTCATGCCCGCGAGAAGGACGCCCCGGAGGAGCCAGTTGAAGCCTAGGTTCCACAAGAGTGGACCGAGCACCGAACCCTGCGAAACCCCGCTGGCTACGCCGCGCCGTTTGAGCTGGCCGTCTCTGTTAACATACAGGACAGGACTTCGCGGGCCCGTAAGTAATCGGCCAGCAGCGCTCGAAGGTACTGAGGCATTCTGTGATGTTCAAGTGCCTAGAGTATGGTGGAATGAGGAATGGTATTCTTTCAATACCAATATCCAAAGGCTATATCGAACGATACAGTCAACACACCCTCACCCCTCTCCCTAGCCTCTGCAGTGAGGCTTTTAAGCCTCTGAAGGGCGTCGACGGTCGACCTGTCATGTAAACCAAAGCAGTAATGTCAACGTTACGAAAATGAATTAGTTTCCATCCACAATATCGAAATTTGACGATTGAATGTGTAAATCAAAATAAGGCGAAGTTTTGAGGTGGTTTGAGTTTTGTTGCATAAAAATAATCTTTAACATTTTTTTTTTTAATCGGGAGTGCTGGGCCCCTGGTCGTAGTGGGCCCCTAGGCACTGGCCTAAAGTGCCTTATGGATAATACGGCACTGCCTGCTATACCTTTCCACCACTGCAACTCCTGTATAGCCAGGGTCTACCTACAGCTTGTTCAATCAAGGCTCTTAGTCGGAGCTCGTAGGGGCGATCGCAATACTACCTACTCCTCATCGCCGCCGCTCAGCCGCCGCTCAGCCGCCGCGTCGCCTCACCATCGCTCGGCCGACGCCAGTTTCGTGCCCGCAGAGTTAGACTAGCAACATCTAGCTCGATCATGGAATAGTCACTCCAACCGATCTACCGTCCTCGCCGGCGAGGACTCGCGCCGCGGTCCCCTTCGACCCGTCCCTTTTTCTCGCGGTATCGGCACGTGCCGGGCCGCTTCTCTCCCCAAACCTACGTTAGGCTACCGTCCCCCAGCAACGCCCTAGGCCGAGGTCCGAGCCCCACTCGGGGGCGCCCTTAGGCTCGTTGCTTAAATTTTGAGGTTGAGAGCCATCTGCGCTCACCTATTGTCCGGTAAAGCTGAAAAAGCCGCTCACGGCTATCAGCATAGTCCGTCCGAAAAAAAAAAACAAAGTCTTATTAAAGCTAACTTTGTCGCTTATTTTCAGGGTCCCTTTGTCATATCTTCACTGGAGCAGACCCCGTGTAGAGGACCCAAGCCAATTAATGCAACCAGAATTTCGGAGAAGCTCTTCAAGCGCAACAACAGCACATATTTTCAAGGAAATATCACTTATTTGTATGATACATACATTAGCGAGGTTAATTTACTTTTTCAACTATCCTTAGAGAATATGAATAATTTTCAAATTAAACATTTTATTAAAATTTTGACGTGACGCGTGATTGGTAGGCGTTACGGCCGTTTTTCACGTTTCCAAAGTACAAAAATAATGACTAAGCTGTGTGTTTTAGGTACTATTACTCTTACTTATTTATTTTTACAGTTTCGCATAACGTTTTATAGGAGACAAGGGAATCGAAATATCGTGGTATGGCATTATTCTGCGAAAGGCCTTTGTCAAAAAATTTTATTCAAGAAAATATTGAACCAAATCTTCAAAGCTAGTAACAGAGGAGGTTGTTTGGTGAAAAAGGTAATTGTATGCTGCCAAATGCTTACCACAAAATTTAAAATGCATTATCTTGCCAAAAGTTAACAGTAATAATAAGAACCTTAAGACATTGAGACATGAGTTAAAAGCAATGGAAAAAAATTGGTTAATTCATGCATTCTTATGAAAAATGGAAAATTGATCTTCCACTTTTCATATTTTCACTAAAACCAGTAGTAAAAAGCGTTGTAGGTACACTGCGGTCTGCTTTTCCTAAAGCTTGACAGTCTTTAAAACCCACAAAGTAAGAACAAGTTAAACACAGGCAAATAATTCGCATATTTTTTTTCAGGGCGTTTATTTCTTCGAAACTGATTTGGCGTATTTCACGGATATGTTGTTCGGTGGAATATTTTATTACGGGAAATACAACACGAAAATCGTTGTACTTGGAAACAAGGGGAACATCTACTGCGGCATACAACATGTGACATTGTCAAGAAAACACTAATTTAAAGTTATACATTTTGTAAGGACGACCGCCTATCAAGCTAAACTGTGAAATCTTATGTATTTGTAATAGGAAGTATTTTGGAACAAAAATGTATAGTCTGTTGTGTCGATTATACCTCTGTAATTTTTGTACTTTCACCTACTTAATAAAGTATTATATTATTAAAGATGAGAGTTGTACCTACTCTTGAACAATAAAGCTACGATTCAATAAATTGATGAAGATCCCTAAAGAGGTATCTTTTTGTCATACTCAATAGGTACTCATACTTACCAACAAAGAAAAAAGAATAATATGCAAAACGCAAAATTTCCATTAGTCCAGTAGAATTAGATTTTAAATCGGAAATAATTCCTACAAAAGATTTTATTGCTTTAATGGCTTCATTGGTTGCCCATTAAGACTCTCCTAGGTTTTCGACTTCGACGGAGTTGTGCTTAAGTTGTGGGGGCCCCCGAAAGGGGCGCTTTTTAGGTTTTCCGGTTATACCGCGTAAAGGACTTACCCTATCGAAAAAAGGTCTTCCTGACGGTTAAAGGGCATTTAATCCTACATTAAATAAGACCAAATTCATATGTTTTAAACAAACCGTTCTCGTGCAAATGTTCGGCAAAGTAGAAAATAAGTGTATAATTAATGACCCTCTCCACATCCAATAGCTCGTCACCCGTAGGCTCCCAAGCCTTGTAAAGGGTCGCCTTAACCAGCGTATCCCTGTCAAGGCTCACGAGTTGGATGCGCTTATCCTTGTTCGTCCCAGCCGTTCCTTAACTGCGGTTGCTGCACCTCTTCCAGGCACTCTCCTGAACGACTCTGATTTACCTAATGTGGCTGCCTCTCTTCCTTGTACCCTCCTATACGATTGCATTGCTTAGCCATATGCCTGGTCTAAGGTTCGACGCCATAAAATCAACTTCGTACGCGTGAAAATAGTTTAAATACTATTTTCCGTGCTTGCAACATTTTTCTTTACTGCTTCGCCTCTATTTGTCGTAAAGTGATTGCATAATATATTCTATAGCCTTCCTCAATTTATGAGCTATACAACACAAAAATAATTATTTCAATCAAACAAGTAATTCTTGAGATTAGCGCGTTCAAACAAATAAACAAAAAACTCTTCAGCGTTTTAATATGAACTTGTTGTTGTTGATTTTTGGCGTCAAACCTTAGACTAGGCGTACGGTTAGGCAACGTAGTCGTGCAGGAGGATACAAGGAAGAGGGGCAGCCAC